GAAAGTGCAAAATGCCTCTCTCAACCCGAACAGCGCCAACATTTGATCTATGAGTTCATCACAAGTTCACCTCAATCTAAACATTCCTTCTAATCATGTGTTGTGACAGCTGGTGAGCATATCTCACACCAGTACATACGCCCGCCACTTGCCCTTCATGAAAGAATTGTGACCGATGCTGCCAAATCCGCTGTTATGACGACGGCTCTTCCCCAGGAATGAATGAATCTCTAGAGGACACCTTGTAATTGGTCTGGTTCTTTGGAAAGCTTTTTTGTATGTCGTAGAGATACTGCCAGAAAACAAGGGTTTCCCTTGGCTACGTGCGGTGCGGGGTTGGAGCGCACTTCAGCTATGTCCCATTCCGAGCAGGAAGATTGGATTTGTTTATTGTCCAACGTATAGCGTATAGCGCACGGAAACTTCTAGTAAATCGCCACCAGCTCACCGAGCTCGAGAAGCTTCTGCATTTCAAGATACTTGCTTGCCGGACGTCGAGTAGGACAGTGACCCGATGACATGCTCCATAGGGCGGTTGACACTTCTCGGTCGCCTGATTGAAAAACTGGAAGAAGTTAGAAGGCAGTTGAAGGGTTTTACAGCGGTTGAAAGCTCTTTTCGAAGTGGCCGGATGGGCGGAGACAGAGAACCATGGGGCTCTGGCGCGCTGACAAAGTGTTCCACTGTCTGTACCAATATTTTCAGTGGGCCTGAGGTGTACCCATAATTATTCTAGCACGGCACTTGTTCTGAGCTTTCTTCGGAATTCATATGGCAGCGCAGGAGCATTTGCCTGACAATGAGTCGCATGGCACCTTTCGGGGAGGGAGGGGACGCCTCAGAATGACGTGGTGGTGCTTACTTCTCTCCTTTTTCTTCTTCTTTTTCCTTAGCGTTCGTCCCGCTTGGTGGCAGGGTCCGCTCTTCTGATGTGATGACGCCATTTCTCCCGATTAAATGCTTGGTCAGGGTGGATTCCAGCTACTTTCAAGTCTGTATGCAACGTATCGAGCCAGCGCTGTCTGGGACGTCCCCTAGGTCGCTTTCCGGGCACCTCAAGCTGAAGGCCAGTCTTACAGACGGTGTCAGCCTTTGCGCGAAGTACATGGCCGTACCATCGAAGGCGCGTTTCTCGCATTTTGTCAGCTATAGGAGCTATGCCGAACTTCTTGCGTATTACTTCGTTACAAATGCGGTCCAAACGCCCGCTTTCCAGCCCAACATTCTCGTCTCCATCACATTGAGACTCCATCACACTGAGAAGAGCTTCAACTTCTTTGGTCGCGGGCCAGCACTCAGCACCGTATAGGGCGACTGGTCGAACGACATTCCTGTAGATGGTGCTGGTGCTTTCCGGATGCCTATTCTGAGCGCTCAGTACTGGAGTGGTCTCTGTTAGACATGTCATGGTCATGGTCGATGCCAAACTCGTCTCGATCGCCTTCAAGCATTGGAGCAGGTGTTAGCAGAGGGCCCAATCGCAATTTTCTGCCGTACTAGGACCATGCTCCTGGCAGCTCTTCTGGATGAAAAGGTTTTGTCACACTTTGTGAAGTGGTACCTATCCTCGGGACTTCCTTCCATATCTAAGGCTTACGTAAAAATCTATTCCGCTTTGGGCCGCGGCTCCATTTGTATGTCGCCTCGGCCTAACTACAACTCTCTCTGTCAAGAAGACAGCTAATTCATGTGAACTGTGATTCTTGAGAGAAATCTATAGCATAGCTCGCAGCAGATATGAACCGATTCCTCTGTAATCAAAGAGAGTTTGGCGACGATAAATCCCTAAAGACGAGCGCGGATTAATACGCCTGCGACGGATTTTCCCGCGCACTGAGCAGGCACGGCGTAGCGCCTTTATTTAAACGCTGCAGAAGGTGCCCTTATAGGTCCTATCAAGCTGCGAACAAACCGACACCGAAACCCCCCCACGCCCCGCCCGCCACGAAACGGACCGTTCCCTGACGCATCGTATTAATTCATTGCTAAGCAAAATTATGAACGCGCAGGAATCTGGTAATGAAAGCGGCACGGTGCTGCATAGGATCATCACACACACATGCAGGTGTATCTTTCCGTAGCTGTCATTGACGTGCTGGCCACCGGAAAAACTCGTCCCGAAATTGATTTTCGAGTCATTAAGAACGAAATAATCTTTAGCTAATTTTTTCTCGTTAGAATTTTGACTGTTTCACTCCGCTTCTTTCGGCCATTTTCCCCACTTATTATATGCCTTCTAGCGTTTTGGCCGAGAGCCAAAGTGTATCGTGTACAACTGCCTTTAAGTTTACCACAGCTGCATGTTCCTTTGCAAAGTGCAGGGAATCGGCACGAAAATAGTCCTGGTCTATCTCACTGTCATGAAGGTCAACATGCGACAATCACAGGTTATCTCTTAGCTTAGTACACATAAAACCTGAACAGCTTGTAAACGAACATCATAAACTTCTGACCATAAACTCTGAAAACTTGCTTCTGAACTCGTTCCAGATCTCCTTGCATAACATGGATACCTTGGATACTAGCCATGCCTTTCCGTTTCGTTCTTGCCAAAGCTCTCCATCTGAGGGCGTCGAAGGCGCCATTAGTCAATTGTCTCTAGTTCTCAGTGATAACGCAGTGCCTGTGAACTGTGATCATTCTTTGCCTTTATCTCGACGTTGCAAATCGTACAGCTGTTGAGACACGCCCTGGCGCCAGGAGACTTTTGCTGAATACTAAATTTTGCGCCCGAATTTTCTCGTCCGGATATGAACCGCTTCCACAATCAACCAGTCATCCTACCGAAGTTTCCAGAAAATTTGTCGTTGAGAGAAGGAGAAGACACTTCCAGCGCCGACTAAGGGGGACCGATAGGGGCGCGTGAACCGGGGAAATTGACAATTAAAAAGTTCGCGAGACCAAATGCACTTCATCCCCACCTGCGACTTATTACACCCCCAGTTGGGGACTCTTTAAAGGAATGAGAAGGCGTTGACCAATCTCTTTCAGTACGGGTCATGTATTCCGCCTCCACTCATAATCGTAGCATCTCAAATGTACTCTAACCTATACAGCTCTTTCCGGAGGCCAGGTGGCCCAATTTCCTCGCCGTCCAAGATGGATCTATTAGTAGCTAACCGGTCCTGGGAAATTCATGACTCTGTTAGCGTGGCCGAAAGCCATTCAAGGACTCAGTCCTCGGAGTGTATACACGGTGAGAAACACCTTTGCCGCGTCTGCATAACCTCGTCCCGTACGACTGACTTTACCTCACTTCAGGGAGCTGAAATATTTGTTCTTGCGCAAGCTGCTTAGGAACACTGGTGGAGGGGGAGAGTTGCAAAGGCTGCACCTACCCATGAATGCTTTGCATCGAAGTTTTTCTTTCAACCATCACCAGATTCACACTTTACCCTCAATATAATCGAGGAGACTGTCAACAGGGCACGCTTTCCCCAGAATATTCCTCGATACACGGGAGTCAAGGAGACGGTCGCATCAGGGAAGGGTTGCTTCTGACATGGTTTCATCTGTTGACCTTTTTGCTTGTCTTAGGCGGCGCTATATATTGCGTTTTTGGTATTAAAGGCAGCGTCCGCGATCAACCAAAGTGAAAAACCCTCCAATGAAAACGAACGCGGAGTACGCAACCACAGCGGAAATCCCACTCTTGCGGCTCGAAATCGATTGGTTGACGAGGGCGGAGTCAACAAGGCTGAGCTGACGCCTCCTTTCCTGTTAATCCCGCCCCGACTGGTTAACAGTTATCAGTGCTTGCTGGCATTGATAAACGCTGTTTCTGGAGTTCCGAGGCGGCGACGTGTATTGGAGAACTCACCAAAGGTCTGCGAAACTCGTCCACATGCCTTAAATTTCGTAGGGTCTTATTTCACGCTCTTCCACACCTTTTTCCTACTTTTTTTGATTAGTGCTTCATTGGCCACCTGTTCTAACAAATTTGACCCCTGAGACCTGCCAAAGTCCATCGCGGGCGCTGTCTTTAAAAAGCCGTTCATTATGCCACGTGCTCTGTCAAGTAAATATGCATACGAGACTGTAGTGGCCCAGGATGAGCATTCTTGATCTGATAGCATAAA